CTGGGGATGTGCCCGCAACCCAGGTACATGCCCTTGACTGGAATCGAACCTGGGACCTTTCAGTCCGCAGGCCGATGCTCTATCCACTGAGCCAAACCGGTTAGGGCAGAAGCGTTCCATATATTTTTTAAAAAGTCAGAATCTTGGCCTGGCCAGTGTGGCTCTCGGTTGAGTGTTGTCCCATGTACGGAAGGGTCACAGGCTTGATCCCCAGTAGGGGGCATGCAGGAGGCAGGCGACTGATGTTTTGCTCCCACATAGATGTTTCTCTCTCTCTTCCTTCCTCTCTCTCTAAAAATAAAACATATATATACATTAAAAAACAAATTCAAGCAAAACAATAAAAGTCAGAATCTTTTGGAAAGGAACACCACAAAAGTCTGCTTTCCTGTGACAGAATTCTAATCAAATTAGGAAATGGAGAAGCTGACGTCCTGTCCTGCAGAGAACATAGATGTTCTGTAGACAATCTATGTGGAAAGATGGAGAAACAGCTACTGAGCGACTGTCCTTGGCTTGGGGTTTTGTTGTCGTCGGGAAGAAATAACCTGGGATGGGTTTCTGTTTTCTTCTTACCTTTGATGGAGCCTGCGAGGTATGCCTTTCGGACATCGAAGTCCTTGCTAAGGAAAGAGCCGTTTTCTTCACTCTGGCATAGCCCTTTGGTGAGAACAGCAATATAACTCTCCATCATTTTAACTGGGCTCCCGTGTTTCAGGTACATTCTGGAAGCGAGGACAAAGAGCCATCACGCTTTCATTTCACACGAACCACATGGAGCAATGCACCAAGACTAGGCGTGGGCACTTTCTGAAGAGTTGAAGCCTACTTGCTTATACACTCTGAATGCCGAATCTTTTCCTGGCAAGTGATCATTCTGAAATTTAATTTGAAGATGTGTTTATAAAAAAGCACCACCTGAGAGACCTTGGACAGTCTCTGCAGCTGCTCCCTCTTTCTGTGTGGGGAAGCCTGCTACAGTCCACTAGGGCAGGAGAATGAACCATGGCCGCCCGAGGCCTCATTCTTCTCAGGAACATTGTACACTTATCTCTTTCTCTGTCTTACATTCATTCACAGCTGGTGTTCTTAGCTATAACAACTGTTTTATTGCTTGAATTTCCTTTGACAAGAAAGGAGGTTTATGCAGTGATCACAGAGAAAGCAGTAATTAGTTGTGAAACCTGTATTTAATATCAGAGTCCCAGAGATAACTATATTTAGATCATTAAGAAAGCAAACTCCTTTAAGTTTTTGGTGATAAATGCACACTAGATACATTCATCAAGTTAAATCTTCCAGAAAATGCTGACAGGAAACTGGCTCCGTTTATAGCTCGCATGTGAAATCAATCCCTCCCCCGGAAATCTCTTCCGAGGAGTAACGAAATCTAAATTTTGCTTGGAAAGCAGGGCTGGGTCTACTTGGGCCTTTTAGCAGCTGGGATAGAAAATTGGGAGGAAAATAAAACCAATGTTTAAGTTAGATCTCTTAGAAATGATACTTATTGTAGATTACGTTTCATTAAGATAATGAAAAAAGTTTTAACTGTTTACCAAATTTTGTCAGTCACCAGTGCTTTTCTATTTTTTTCAATGTACAAAATGAGAAAAAAAGGTACAGAACAATGACAATGGCAAGCTATCATATATCTAAAATATAGTCAAGCCATGAACTCAGCCACATGCTTACATACGGAGACAAGTCCCCAGTTGGACAGAAACAAAACAGGCCAGGAGCTGCCTCGGGGGTGGGGGTCGGGAGGTAGCACTGGAGGCTGGGAACGGAGAAGGGACTTAGTTTTCACCGCATACCCTCCTGCACAGTTGGCTTTTTAACTCTGTGCTTATATCACCACCCAAAACACACAAAAACCAAAACCATACCATTACAATTATAAAACAGAAACAAGAGACAGTCAGGAAAAGAGAAACATAAGAAAGGTAGGATAAGATGACTTCCCACATGACAACCCTGGGCCATGAGACTAAACAGAGGGCGGAATCCCCCCAAAACCATTTCATAGGAAAAACACAGCACAGCCCAGGGGACCGTATTCCGATGGGCGCCACAAGCTGCCAGACTTGGCTTAGACAACGGACTGTAAGTAGGCCTGGTTCTCTACCGGAGCCATTAGCTGGAGGGACCAGAAGAGGAAGAGGTTCATGCCAACTGACCTGGACCCCATAGAGGGAATGAACCCCGAACCCCCATGTGGGCCTCTACTGCCACCTCAGCAGCATGCTGTGGAAGGAATGCCTGCCTGCTTCTCTCACCAGGCACGGGAGCATGTCCATGGTAACTTCACCATTATAAAAACATGCCTCATCACTATGGTACACATCTAAACTAATATACTGCATGTCACCAGTAACTGAAAAATTAAAAAATGTATTTTAAAAGTGTTTGTCTCTGTGCATGTGAATGCAGACACATGCATTCATGGGGAGAGAGTGTGTGTGCATGCATGCACCTGAGTACACTGGTGTGTACACATGTAAGGTAAGCAGGAGAGTAAACATGCCTCAGCACTATGGTACACATCTAAACTAATATACTGCATGTCACCAGTAACTGAAAAATTAAAAAATGTATTTTAAAAGTGTTTGTCTCTGTGCATGTGAATGCAGACACATGCATTCATCGGGACACAGTGTGTGTGCATGCATGCACCTGAGTACACTGGTGTGCACACATGTAAGGTAAGCAGGAGAGTCCACTAAGAGGCAGGAGCAGAGGAGGGGGCTGGCAATAGCTCTGAGTCCTCATTTCCTTGCACAGGAGCAGGAGAGAACCCAGAATGCGACAATGCCATGGCACCACCGAAGCTGAGAAACCCCCTGGGCTTCCAGGAATTCAGTGAAGTAACCTAACCCTGACTCAATCAAATGGAATGGGAGTCTAATGTTTGTACAAAAACACCTTTACAATGTTTATAGTTCACAGCTGCTGGACAGTGTCTCTCCTAACAACAATAATTTCTTTTTGTACCATATTAGCAGACAACTGTTGATATTCCACAGTGAGCCATACACCTGGAATTTATCTTAGTCTTTCTCAGCATAGCTGGCTGCAAAAACAGTAAAACTTCATTTTGTCAAAATACAACCTAACTGAAACCCTTAGGTTATGAGAAGGTATTCTTACGCTATGTTGTGTGTGTGCACATAAAAATGGCAAAAAGGAAACCATTTATCAGGCTTATAGTGGGAGAAACAAAACTCCCCTCATTCACCCCAAACACAAACTATTCCCTGGGTGTGAGCTTGAGGGCTGAGTAATACAGAACATTGAGACTTCTAAGTCTATCTAGTGTCAACAATATTTTAAAAACACTAAGCTAAAACCCTGTAAAAGTTTTCATTACAGAAAAAAGCCAATATTCCTCACACACAAGAAAGATTTAAAAGTCTGCTAGATATACTTACCAAGGCAAGAAAGTAAATTGATGCATTTTAGATAAATTTTTTCAACAACTAGGATGAAACTAAAGAAGTCTACTTGAATCACAATTAACCAATTAATCAGTTTTTCAGCTCATTATTCCAGCTGAGAAATGTTTTCCTGTGCTTTAGCATAATTCAAAATGCTAACTTTTGAATTATTAACTTTCCCCAAAATGATTCCCACACAGACCTTGCCACATACAAAGCAGCCTGCCACTTCATAAAGTACTTAATTTATCTGTCCTGTTTAGAACAATTCTAGATTGGAAATGAGTAGAAGTAACAGACCAAAAATGGCAAGTGACTCAAAACACCCAGGCACCACAACAGTTGTGCAAACTACTTTTTCTTCTCCCCACGACCATTTTCCCAAATAAGAGGAGCAGTGCCATTGAAGCCAAAGAGCAAGTTCCTCTTTATGAAACAGTCTTCGAAGGGCCAGGAAAGATTCAGTTGGGGAGACAAAGGGGAAATGGACTTCCTCGGTGTAGAAATCTGCTCTGCGATACTAAGATCTTCATTTTTGTATATTAGTATTTAACACAGTTTTCATACAGACCTACACAATATCCTAGTGAAGGCGGCATATTTCTCTGGGTTAAAATCTTTGGCGGTCAGAACAATAGAAAAATGAGTCACCTGTCCAAAAGAAACAAAAAAAGTACACTTTTTAAAGACACTTTAATAGAATTAATTCTTATCACTACATTTTAACAAACCTCTTGTACAAGATATACCAGCATAAAAAGGAAAAGACCAAAATGTGACCAAGTCCTCACTGCTTCTTTATACTCTTATATGTATATCCACACATATAAAAAGTTACACAGAATATATATTGCATTTCCTACATGAGATTGCAATACTTTGCCAGTGTTTTTTGAAAACAAAAATATTTCAAATATCAAAAATGTGAATTTTTATTTTAAACCCCCTAACATCATCAAAACAGAACTAGGAATACTATAACAGACCTACCAATTTAGCAACTATTTTTCATTAATGAAATAGAAGGATGGGAAACAACAAAAATATATCGCAGTAAAATGCTTACAGTAAAAATTATACTATTCCAGAAATAGTTAATTCCCAAAAGTTGCTATATAATCTAAAGGGCACTGTTATAATATGCTTCATTTATTTATATACCTCTATTATTATAAATATAAATTTTTGATAATCATTATGCCTATTATTCTCATTAGTGGGACAAAATTTAGAACTTTACAAAAGCAAAGCATTTAAGAAATACATTTTAAAAATCATATTTTGAAGGGTAAAATTTCAAAATCTTGCTATATTTCAAATCTGAAAAATAAATTTGAAATCGCTGTTGTTATAATTTGACAGTCTGCAGGGTAAAACTTAGTAAGTCTACCTGAGAATACATCAAGACTTTACAGCAAGAACTTAATAAACATAAACCAAAGATTTTATAACATGTGGAAAACTATTTTTTTGCAAATTTACATTTTCTAATTATGAATTTCTATTTTGTCTTAAACCTCTACCAGTTTCAAAATTGTTGCCTTCCTGTTATTTTAAATGTAATTCCTTAAATTTAAACTGGTATCTTGGACATGCTCCATACATCTGGTTATTGGCTGTAAAATTATCCCTGAAAAGATAAGTCTCCACTCAGGAACATGCCAGGAGCTCAGCCACTTCTCCCCAATATTATTTTCTTTGAAAAAACCTGCTGCTTGTTTGGACGCTCACAGGGACCACATAGTGGTTTTCTTTTTTTTTCTTTTTTTAATATATTTTATTGATTTTTTGCAGAGAGAAAGGGAGAGAGATAGAGAGTTAGAAACATCGATGAGAGAGAAACATCGATCAGCTGCCTCCTGCACATCCCCCGCCGAAGATGTGCGCGCAACCCAGGTACATGCCCTTGACCGGAATCGAACCTGGGACCTTTCAGTCCGCAGGCCGACGCTCTATCCACTGAGCCAAACCGGTTTCGGCCACATAGTGGTTTTCAACATGTCACACTGATCCTGTCCATGTCGAATGACACAACAAAAAACCTACTGAATACTTGAGTTTCCTTAATTATCCTTTCTATTTTTAATATAGCCTTAACCAGCCACAAACAAATAAAAATTTCTTTATGGCAAGGATAATTATATCCTCTAAAATAGTTTTTAATGATGGAAAAAAACACTTCTAATCAGGCATTACTTTGAAAGTATTCTACATCAGTGGTTCTCAACCTTCTGGCCCTTTAAATAGTTCTTTATGTTGTGACCCAACCATAAAATTATTTTCGTTTCTACTTCATAACTGTAATGTTGTTACTGTTATGAATTGTAATGTAAATATCTGATATGCAGGATGGTCTTAGGCGATCCCTGTGAAAGGGTCGTTCGACCACCAAAGGGGTCGCGACCCATAGGTTGAGAACCGCTGTTCTACATATTTCTATTCCATCAGAGTATAACCCGAACAAGGCTTCACCACACCAACCACAGGGTCAGTCACATAATACACACCAACAAATATTTATAGGATGAATGAGAGTGAAACATGAAAGAGAACATTCCCAAAGAAAATCATATGTAGCCCTAGCGGCTCAGTGGATAGAGCGTCAGCCTGCAGACTGAAGGGTCCCAGGTTTGATTCGGCCAATGGCACATGCCCAGGATGCGGGCTAGATCCCCTAGAGGGGGCGTGCAGGAGGCAGCCAATCAATGATTCCCTCTCATCACTGATGTTTCTCTCTCTCTCTCTCTCTCCCCCTCTCCCTTCTTCTCTGAAATCAACAAAAATACATTACAAAAAAAAGAAAATCATATTTAATGTTTTGCAAAAGCATACTGTGAATGATAAAACCCACAGCTAAAAACAGTTACTGGAATAATCTTACATCACTTTAAATATTTTTGTTTTTTGTTTTTACCTTTACGCAGTCATACCTTTTTCAAAACTGAAGAATCTGGAACTTCAACTGTTGTGATATAAAACCATGTTCTTCTGTACTGACCGAAGACGAAGGGACGGAGGAGCCTGTTTTCATCCGTGAGGCAGCATTTCCTCAGCAGCAGATTCCTTAACGTAGCTGTCGTGGAAGGATAACACCACACCCACAGAACTTCTCCATTTGTGTCCTTTTCTATGGTGGAAAGATGGTCACTGTGAGAATGTCAAACAGCAGCAAGGAAGTGAATTGATTGGTTACTCAGAAGCACTTAGTGGAATCACTTTTAACATCCTATTTTACAAAGCACCCCGGAACTGGTGAGACCCCTAATTCCCACCTACCTCTACTGCTCAAATTACCTAGCTCTCCTGACTTTGAATTTTCAGCTACTCGAGTAAATCATCTTACATACTGATTGCGCAAGTTCTATATTTAAAACTTTAATTTCATCAGCAAAGTAAACACCTCAATAACAAATGAGTAGCAATCTATTATGAATAATAACTCCAAGCAAAAATAGTCTAAATTTTCAAAAGTTACTGCACATATAGCACTAAGAATCTAGATTTTGATCTACAGACTTAAAAAATACTTATTATGGAAAATATCAAGTATATAAAAAAGCAGAGAGAATAATAAAATTCCCCCATCTCCATCACTCATCACTCGGCGTCAACAATTACCAACATCTGGCCCTCCTTGTCTCATAAGGGGGAGGAGCTTTTCCCCTTCCATTATTTTGAAGCAAGCCCCTTTATTCTTCAAGTCAACACGAAAAATAAAAAGCCTGCTGAATTGAAAATGATTAAGCCATCTTTTCCTTCACTGTTAGCAAATAAAGTCACAGTTTAACTCAGCCTTAATTCAGAAGGACTTCGGGCAGGACTAAGATGACGAAGTTACTTAGGTTTTGCTTTGAAACAGTTTTAAAACTACATTTAAGAAATGTTCAGATGGGCATGCGATGCATCGGGATGATCGCTTAGTCAGTTACATAATGTCTAATCACTGGGGTGTACACTTAAACTAATATAATATTGTATGTTGAACTGCAACTAATTAAAAAATAAAAAATGATTTAATTTTTTTAAAAAGGCATGAATACAGGAAGCCATTTCCAGATAAATGCACTTCTTTGAGGCACTGAAAAGTAATCAGCACATTTCGCCCGTTTTTCTCAGCCCAAGCAACGTTCTTGTATACACCAGGGAAACAGCGTCTAGGGCAGTGGTTCTCAACCTTCTTAATGCCGCGACCCTTTAATACAGTTCCTCATGTTGTGGTGACCCCCAACCATAAAATTATTTTCGTTGCTACTTCGTAACTGTCATGTTGCTACTGTTATGAATCGTCATGTAAATATCTGATACGGAGGATGTATTTTCATTGTTACAAATTCGACATAATTAAAGCATAGTGATTAATCACAAAAACAATATGTAATGATATATGTGTTTTCCGATGGTCTTAGGCGACCCCTGTGAAAGGGTCCTTCGACCCCCCCCCCAAGGGGTCGCGACCCACAGGTTGAGAACCGCTCGAGGGGTTTGTAAAAATCTCAATAGAATACTTTTTCAAAGGACATGGCACGTAGGGAACCGACCGACGTTCATTCCCGCAACCCCGTGCTCGCCATCGCCCATCAAATGAATGGTTCCTTGAAACGCCCAGCCCTGGCACACGGCACGCCCCCCCTCACCTCCCCCCGCGCCCGGCACACATCCCGGGCTGCTCGAAGATCCCAACGTACTTCCTCATCCATTAATTCCCCAACACCCACGGGTCCCACCCAAGTGAGTAAGTCGACACCCTTGCTGCGTGCACCAGCTGTGTCTCAGATGATGCCGGGGTCCCCCACGGGCTCAAGTTGGGGCTCTGGGACAAGACTGCAAGTGTCCTAACCCCGGTTCCGCCACTTTCTAACGTGCATCGGTGGACACCTGGCCTCGAGCTACTGCCCCGGAAAGTGTGCATCAAACGTTACCCACAGCCCCCGGGAGCCGAAGTGAGTTAAACCGAGATAATCCAGGCATTCAACGCTGCACCCGGAGCTGGTAGTCGGCCACCGCGTCTCCAATCGCTGGATCACATGATCAGGCCAGCCCGGC